TGTAGCCTCAGCTCCCAGCTTCTCTGAACCCTAATTTCTTACTCTGTTAGTGAATATAATGATCGTGTCTGTGTCTCTGGGTTGTTACATAGATTAAATGAGAGCATCGGTGGCTCTGTGGAACCTGGAGCCTGGAGCCTGCTCTGGGCACTCAGGGCTGGGGAGCATCCCTTCCCTCCCCTCTCCTCCTCCGCTCTTCCCTCCATCACCTTTTATGATTATCATGCTGATAATCAGCAGCAGCTGCAGCAGTGTGACATCCACTCCAGGTCCTCTGTCCTGGCTCCCACCCTCAATAAGGCTCCCCAGGGTGCCTGTTGGGGTGGCAGGGCAGGGGTGGGCGTCGGGGACAGAGGAACGGTGCTCAGAGCTTGGAGAGGGGCAAAGCAGTGAGTGGAAGCAGACCGTCCAGGCTGGGGGTGGAGGTGGCCACTGACACCCAAGAGCCTCAATTCCCCATCCCTGATCCCTGATATGGAAGCATGTTGTCCCCTGTGCTTTGCCCCTGGTGACCGAGCACTGCTGAGGAGACCACACAGGGCCCTCCTGTCCTCCCCTGGGCCCTCCTCTGCCTCCAGTCCTCCCTGCCCTGGGCCAGCACATGCCTCTTACCAAGGCAGCCAGGGTTTTCAGTGAGAACTCCCCACCTACACTGTAGGGCCCAAACAGAAGGCCCCCTCCCCACCCCATCACAGGGCCATCAAGGGGGGGGCAAGCCCTCCTGCTGAGCTCTGCCCCTTCCATGTCTCTCTCTCTCTCTGATTCTCTCCCTGTCTCTCTTTGTCTCTCTGTGTCTCTGTGTCTCTATCTCTCAGTCTCTGTTTATCAGTGTCTGTCTCTCTCTGTCTCCCTCTCTGTCTCTCTCTCTGTTGCTCAGTCTCTCTCTTTGTCTCTCTGTCTCTTTGTCTATGTCTCTATCTCTGTCTCTGTCCCTGTCTCTCTGTCTATCTCTCTTTTTATTTTTTTGAGACAGAGTTTCACTATGTTGCCCTGGGTAGAGTGCCATGGTGTCACAGCTCACAGCAACCTCAAACTCTTGGGCTTAAGCAATTCTCTAGCCTCAGCCTCCCAAGTAGCTGGGACTACAGGTGCCCAACACAACACCCGCTATTTTTTGTTGCACTTGTCATTGTTGTTTAGCAGGCCCGAGGCCGGGTTCAAACCCGCCAGCCTTGGTGCATGTGGCCAGCACCATAACCACTATGCTATTGGTGCTGAGCTCTCTCTTTGTCTCTTTGTCTCTGTCTCTGTCACTATCTCTCCCCTTGGCCTAGAAACCTGCTTGAGTCCCTCCCCCAGCAGCCAAGCCCACTGCCCACCCCCCAGCAGGAGCAAACTTCCCCAGAGGGGGCTCAGCCTGGCCACATTCCTGCCTCCTGCTCCCTGCCGCCCTCAGCTGGGTTCTGCCCACCTCTCCACTCCTATCAAAGACCCACAGCCTCCTGATTCCAGTCCTAGCATCCAATCCCAGGCAGAAGCCTGGCAGGTCAGGACTAAGGCTTGTCTGCCTCAGT